TCCACGCGTCATAACTCCACGCGTCGTATTTCCACGCATTGTACTTCCATGCGCCGTAACTCCACGCGTCGTATTTCCATGCGCCGTAATTCCACGCGCTGTACTTCCACGCGTCGTAACTCCACGCGTTGTACTTCCATGCGTCATAACTCCACGCGCCGTATTTCCACGCATTGCAACTCCACGCACTGTACTTCCATGCGTCGTAACTCCATGCGCCGTAGCTCCGCGCGTTGTACTTCCACGCGTCATAACTCCATGCGCCGTATTTCCACGCACTGTACTTCCATGCGCCGTAACTCCACGCGCTGTACTTCCACGCATCGTAACTCCACGTGCCGTATTTCCGCGCGTCGAAACTCCACTCGCCGTATATCCAAGCGTCGAAACTCCACGCGCCGTATATCCACGCATATATGGAAAATTCTCTCAGTTCAATGGCCAGCAACCCGAAATTTGGTGAAATCCCACATAGGTTCTAGATGTATAATCCTCTCTACAAGTCTATAATACCTCTCCGATTTAATGTCCTTATATCTACTCATCCTCTGCTACTCATCATCAAGCCATAACACTCTCATCATCGAAATACCTCAATAATCCCCATAAACGTCAATCCTCAAAGCTGAGTACCTTTCCAAAGTACCTTGAAAAAATATCAGTACTTCCTACTTAAAACTCTCATATATAAAAGTTAGCTCCGTTATGTTACCTCCGTTACGCAATTCTCGTTTGACACGCAACTAAGCTGCAACCAATTGCATAACGACACACGATACCTTTTCTACGCTTTCGCTCGTTACGAGAAACCGTCGAAAGAGTCGGAAAATATGATCCGACACGTTTTCTCACGGGAATCATGATTTCCGTCGACAATGAAGTTTCGCAATCTCGTTATCGGACCAAATACATCGTTGCTCGTTTCTGCGATGCGTGTTCCTTGCGTCACAGCAGTCATGCTGCTGTTAATTGCTGTAATTTAGCTTCTTCAGTCATCGTCATTTGATTAATCAGAAAATAACTATTGAACTATCTCCGCACTATCCCAGACCACCCATGCACTACAATTTCGCAGACGCATAAAGCCAACACCTAACCCTTGTTTATCGCCAGGTAATAACATTACCAAGCTCCAATGCCGGGGTAACATCCCCTAAAAATTCTACCAGTCCCCCCATATCGCCAGGGTATTGTGTACACACGCTGTTCCCCCTGGAACTCGATATTCGATCAAGTCATAATTTATCATTACACGGGGAAAAGGACTCGCTCGATAAATCCTCGCCGAGTTGCACGAAGTTTGCAACTTGATTTATGCGCTTTAGCGAGTCCAGCCATGAGGGAGACACCGTGTGTCCCTGAGCTAATGTACGATGTACCTTGAAACCGATACAATGAAAAAGAATGGCATTGTGTATTGAAATAACTCTATTTTCTTTTGTACTTTTTTTGAATTTGAACTTTTTAATTGATAAGCAAGGATAGTTGCATTAGGTAGTATGTGGACTACTCTGTAGGGGAAGAAGTGAAGACAGTTATAATATGAAGGTTAATATATACGGTTGCAGTTTTGTGTGAATGATCAGAAAGAGATGTGAGAGATCCTTGTTATTCGAAGATTATCAAGATTCAATGACGATGGCATGTGTGGTGATAGCATATGTGGTGATAGCATATATGGTGATAGCATATGTGGTGATCATCTTGGACCTCTATGGATAATTTCACCAAAGTCCAAATTAATATAAACGATCATACTCTTACGTAAACGATCATAAACCTATATGAGTACCTCCACATATGAGTACCTTCACATATGAGTACCTTCACATATTAGTACCTTCACATATCAGTACCTCCACACATGAGTACCTGCACATATGGGTATCTTTACACATGAGTACCTGCACATATTAGTACCTCCACATATGAGTACCTTCACATATTAATACCTCCACATATTAGTACCTCTACATGTTAGTACCTCCACATATCAGTACCTCCACACATGAGTACCTGCACATATGGGTACCTTCACACATGAGTACCTGCACATATTAGTGCCTCCACATATTAGTACCTCCACATATTAGTACCTCCACATATGAGTACCTCTACATGTTAGTACCTCCACATATGAGTACCTCCACATATTAGTACCTCCACATATCAGTACCTCCACACATGAGTACCTCCACATATGAGTACCTCCACATATTAATACCTCCACATATGAATACCTCCACATATGAGTACCTCCACATATCAGTACCTCCACATATGACTACCTTCACATATGACTACCTCCACATACGAGTACCTCCAAATTACCTCCACATTATTAAAACTAAAGATTGCTATACCGTGCCAATAACTAACACCACAGACAAATGTAGGGTAATCGTATTCTCCGAACAAAGTAGCCAGATCAATAATTTCCAATACTGACATACTTACCGTGGCAACTATAGACAGCAGGATATCCACGGGTAGTCGCTTATGAAGCCAGATCCGTGATTGTTTGTATGACCTAGTGTAGTATCGACTTCCAAGGATCCAATATCGTCTCTATCAATTGCTAAGCATCCAAAGATACATCCGTATCGGTTTCTACCGATCCAATGTCTAACCAACCTACATTCACATCCTCGATGCTGAAAGTTGTCCACATCGAACCATGGTGACCCAGTTTCGAGTCATGTGTCGCTATGAGAACTTCTTCTGTGCGGGAAAAAATTACTTCTGTTGCTGTGTGCTTCTCGCGTCGTAATTCTACGCGCTGTATTTCGACGTATTGCAACTCCACGCGCTGTATTTCCATGCGTTGTAATTCCACGCGCTGTACTTCTACGCGTTGTAATTCCACGCGCCGTATTTCCACGCGTCGAAACTCTACGCGCCGTATTTCCACGCGTTGTAATTCCACGCGCCGTATTTCCATGCGCCGTAACTCCACGCGTTGTACTTCCACGCGTCATAACTCCACGCGCCGTATTTCCACGCGTCGGAACTCCACGCGCCGTATTTCCACGCGCCGTAACTCCACGCGTTGTACTTCCACGCGTCGTAACTCCACGCGTTGTACTTCCACGCATCATAACTCCACGCGTCGTATTTCCACGCGTCGAAACTCCACGCGTCGTAACTTCACGCGCCGAAACTCCAAGAGTCGATAGTCCACGCGCCGAATTTCTAAGCGTCGAAACTCCACGCGCCGTATTTTCACGCGTTGTAATTCCACGCACCGTATTTCCACGCGTCGTAACTTCACGCACTGTACTTCCACGGTTGATACAAAGAATTTCTGAATTTCGCAGATTTGGTATGTGAAGATTTGAGGGATTTGGGCAATTGGAGAATACTACATGTAGTTCTACTTTCTGATTTGGTATATGGAAATTTTGTGGAGTTTGGGCAATTGGGAGATATAGGTTCATATAGAGAATGTTCTACCAATTTCTGATTTGGTTGATTTGGATATATGAATATTTTAGCCATTTGGGAAATTGGAGGATATGGTAACATATGTGAATGTAGTTCTATAAATTTCTCACTTTAGCAGATTTGTGTACATGTGTAATGATTGGCTGGAGTTAGGAAACTTATGAAGTTTGATGATACAGGAAATGTAGCTCTGAACATTTGTTCACTTAGCACATATGACACATTTCAATTTGAGGAACTTGAAGATATAGAAAAGTATCAATAGAGTTATAGAATGAACCTACCTTAGATATTTAAACATCCACATGTGTCCTATTACATTTGTCCTATTACATGTATCCTATCATATGTGTCCTATCACATGTGTCCTATCATATGTGTTCTATTGAGTCCCAAAAGTAACCGAAATTGAAGTGCTCATCAAATCCACATTGCGTCCACCTAGCGATACCTTGCGTAAAATTGCAGTTTGAGCGGTCGAAGAAAGAGCGTTAAATCGCGGATTGTCGCGACTCGTTAAAACAAAGATGTAGAGTGTAACGTGAAATTTCAGATGGTCCCTTTATCCAAGCTGGCAATACAAGCTCCGTGAAGGACCACTCAGAGAAATGAGCGCAGCCGTTGAAAACGGCATGGAGGCCTCGAAGCCACGGGGCGTTTTCTCGAGGGCATTCGCTAAACGGGCGCAGCCCTTCGAGGAAGGTGAGTGTTGCGAGAAACAAATGGTTTCGGGGATTACCACGGTGCACATGGGGCTTTTTTGGTGATTGGTCGTTGCTACTTTTGCCAACCACTGGGACACGCTGGATTGGTGAAACAATTTTCTGCTTCGTTTAACGGCGAATCACCGCCAAACGTTTGCCACGCTAACGTTAAATATTTCTTCTTTACCGTGTAACGTAGATGACCACACTTTTTTTCTCGTTATATGTGGATGTAGACTGTTGTGTAGACTGTTTTATAGAGACTTTATGGACTGGTGTACTGATGTCGACCCATGGGATGGCGTGTGGAGAGGTCGATACATGCTTTGTGTCTTTGTACGAGTTTTACAAGTTTAAAATACAAGTTTCAAATACATGTTTTAGTGCACTTCTTTTAATACGGACAATAAATATATTTAATACACATGTTTTAATATATACAGTACATACAATTAATACATATTTTAATACACACAATACACATCATTAATACACATGTTATAATTCAAACAATACACATTAGTAACCCACATGTTATTATACCAACAATACACATTAGTAACACACACATGTTTTAATATATATCATACAGCAAACAAGATATGCAGTTTAACCTCTTACCTTACGATTGACTTGCCAGGTGCGTAAGTCAGAACTGATCACAGCTACAGTATTAAAACACAGAAAGAAAGTTGAAATGTCAAGATTCGTATTCAGCGACTGACCACGCAAGTTATAATTGCACAAACTCCAAATCGAAGCGAGTTCCAAATTCGAGTAAGATTCCTCACGGTTGACGCACTCGTGCGTCACGTGTGGGACATCCTAAGGCAAGATGCGAACGACGAACAATCTCGATATCGAACGAAATACAAGTTAAAGCGAGGTATCTACCGATGTCGACCCACGAGTTGGCGCTAGAAGAGGCTGACCCAGGTGTTGGAAGAGCCACGGCTCCAACTGGTCAGAATAGAAAAATGGACGCCTGGACTCGCGCGTATTTTCGCCGGTAGAACAATTGGCTCTCGCGCGAGCGCACACCGATTAGGCCAAAAACAATGAGAGTCGGCAAACGTCTCGAGAGTGAGAGTGCTACTTGCGTTCGGCAGTTATCGTCGTTATTATTATTTGCTTGTATGTAACGCTGGAAGTGTTCGCGGTGATAGGCTTCTTTTACTTTGGGTCACGCGCCAACTCGTGGGTTGACTGTCCACGTTTTCCTATATTTTATTAACACTGAACTACCAGAGCAATTAACCGTTTTACAAGTTTTATTTTCGAGTAAGATTTAAATTCGAGGAAGGTGCGTCACGGTTGAAGTAAAGGCGCGTTAAGATTGAACTAAAGGTGCGTCGTGACTGAACTGAAGGTGCGTCACGACTGAACTAAAGATGCATTATGATTGAACTGAAGGTGCGTCACGAATGATCTGAAGATGCGTCAAGATTGGACTAAAGATGCGTCACGATTGAATTAAAGGCGTGTCATGGCTGGGCTGAAGGTGCGTCACAGTTGAACAAAAGGTGCGTCACGATTGAAGTAATGTACATCGCGATTGAAGTAAGAATGCGTCATGGATGAAATAAAAGTGCGTCACAATCAAACTAAATATGCGTCATGACTGAACTGAAGGTGCGTCATGACTAAACTGAAGATGCGTCGCGACTGATAAAGGTGCGTCAAGATTGGACTAAAGGTGCGTCATGACTGAACTAAAGATGTGTCATGACTGAACTGAAGGTGCGTCACAGTTGAACTAAAGGTGCATCACGACTGAAGTAAAGTGCATCGCCATTGAAGTAAAAATGCATCATTGTTGAAATAAAAATACGTCACGATTGAACTAAAGGTGTGTCATGACTGAACTGAAGATGCGTCACGACTGAACTAAAGGTGCGTCATGACTGAACTGAAGGTGCGTCACAATTGAACTTAAGGTGCGTCACGATTGAAGTAAAGTGCATCGCCATTGAAGTAAAAATGCATCATTGTTGAAATAAAAATACGTCACGATTGAACTAAAGGTGTGTCATGACTGAACTGAAGGTGCGTCACAGTTGAACTAAAGGTGCATCACGACTGAAGTAAAGTGCATCGCCATTGAAGTAAAAATGCATCATTGTTGAAATAAAAATGCGTCACGATTGAACTAAAGCTGCGTCACGATTGAAGTAAAGTTGCGTCACGATTGAACTAAAAATAAAATATCACCACAAAAATGACTAAACTACGATCACCAAACGGCGGGGTAGAAATATAGCAAGCAAGTGGTTCGCAGGAGGATTTGTTTCGGGGTGTCGTTTAATGTTCGATAGCCATATGCTCGAAGCAAACGTCGCAGAGCACACGCATCGAGTTACGGTCAGGTATGTGCATTAAGGTACATAAGGGATTCACGTAGATCTGAACGACCCTTCCAGGTGGTATATAGGTCTACGTGCAAACACGCGAGCACGTTAAGTGCGCTTCCAGCACGAGGTCGCTGCGAGACCAGCAGGGAACCGCGAAAGGGTTAGATATATGCCATGCTCCGATATTATGCGCTTGCGTATTCTTTACGATCTTCCTTGCGAAAACACCTCTACAATATTTTGCTACAAATTGCTCTTTGCACAATTTTCAATATGTAAGAGTGAAAATTATTGAGTCAGAAAGTCAAGATGGAAAGTCAGAAAGTTGTATCGGAAAGTTTCGATAGCTTTCGAATAATTTTCCGTTGTTAACGCAGAATTTCCAGGCAAAGAAAATTGGAAAGTTCGTTAACCAAGCAATCGCCAGGGTTTGCTTACTACCACGTTATAATTGCGCGAATTTGAAAATTAATTAAGTCAGAATGTTAGAGGCACGGGACGCTGAACGAATTTCTTATCTCGTCGCTTAATTACTGGCGCAACGAACTTCTTGATGAAAGGATGTTACACTCGAGCCGAAAGTGCGAGCAGGATCAGCTTAATGCAATTACTTTGTGAATTATTTGTTTCGTGGCGCGGGGAAATGAAATGAAATTAGCGAGAACGAGACTGGATTTTCTCGCCGGGGCTAACTTATAGAAAAATAAACGCAACTGCGTTAGCAAACAGATTAGTACGCGAATAATTATCTCGAGTGAAATTTCTTCGCCAGACTACTTTGTCTTCAAACATTCTTCTCTATGTTCTTCTTGAAGAGCATTTCTTAAATGCATTTCTAAAATGTAACTAAAAAGTGTCTATTGTTGGACATTTACTTATTTGAACATGGGTAAACTGGTTGGAATGTGAAGGAAGATTAATGTTGCCTTGTCAGCCACATGTAGATGACGTTTCAATTTTCTTGTAAATCTGTTATGATATGTTGTTAAGAATTTGTTTGTGTATGTGGTTAAAAGTACTACTATTAACTACTTCATATTTTGGATAATAATTGTAATAAAATAATGTGTAAATATTTAGTGAAATTTGTAAAGAACAAAACTACTATCTGATCAAATTTTCAAACCCATCACTACATCAGTAAACTTGTCAGAGAATAAAAAATACGGTAAACAACAAGCATAGTTGAAGACTTAAGATTTTGTATAATAAACCTAATAAAATAGTGTGCAAATATTTAGTAAAATTTGTAAAGAACAAAACTACTACCTGATCAAATTTTCAAACCCATCACTACATCCCTAAATTTGCCAAATAATAAAAAACACAGTAAACAAGATCAGTCCAGGAGTTAAAATTCTGTACAATGAACCCAATAAAACAGTACACAAATATTTACCAAAATTTCTAAAGAACAAACCTACCTGAACAAATATTCAAACCCATCACTACATCCCTACCTTGTCATACCTTAAAACACAAGATCAGTCCAGGAGTTAAAATTCTGTACAATGAACCCAATAAAATAGTACACAAATATTTACTAAAATTTCTAAAGAACAAACCTACTACCTGAACAAATTTTCAAACCCATCACTACATCCCTAAATTTGCCAAATAATAAAAAACACAGTAAACAAGATCAGTCCAGGAGTTAAAATTCTGTACAATGAACCCAATAAAACAGTACACAAATATTTACCAAAATTTCTAAAGAACAAACCTACCTGAACAAATATTCAAACCCATCACTACATCCCTACCTTGTCATACCTTAAAACATGAATTAACAGCAGTATCATTTAAATAGCAAGATTCTGTGTCCTCCCTAGGTGTACGTCAGTATGTCGTAGATGTAAGCATACTCGAAAGTCCAACGCGATATGTCGTGATGAGGATGCTAAGGGATGGCGTGCTCGAGTCTGATCCACGACAGAAACGAGCTTCCCTCACGAACTTGTCGATAACAGTTTGCCACCCTTTGGCTCTTTCCACCTTCGTGTCACGAGCACCATACTTTGAGAATTCAATTATCCCGTCGCAGATGAACGAGTCAAGAGACAGCCATGTTGCTGCTTGCAGTGGAGACAATGTCTTACAGCGTCTTCTTGAAGGATGCGAAATGGAAATAGGAAATTTACTATTTTATTTCGGATGTTTCTTTACGGTGCTCTTTCAGAATCTTTTCGATACATTTTATTATATTATTTTCTTTTATTGTACTATTGTAGTATTTTATTGCTAATTTATAATATAGCATTATAGTATTTTATTGTTAATTTATAATATACTCTACTAGTATATTATATATTTAATTTTGCAAACTTAATATTTGGAATTTAGCATAACGTTGCAGTAGCGTCACTATTAACTAGTAGTCACTATAGCGTCATTGATGTAACTAAAATGTAAAAAATTTGTGAGTGGTGGTGGAAACTTGAGAATTTATGTTTGGATATGGGGCTTAAACTTGTAAAAAATTACAGTGATTTTATAATAACTTTGAATGAACCTTGATCTGTTACAGCCCTCACTACCTTAAATCGTTTGAACAAAGAAGGAGAAGCACTTGCCCTTCAGGATGACCTCACAACGCACCCCACCTTGGCTTTGATGCGACGCATCCTTGCAGATGCACAGGTCAGTCAAATTGTCATTAAATAATATAGTTAATAATTTTAATATACGGGGTGTCTCACAATTATGTAATTCCACGCGTTGTTATTCTACGCGTCGTATTTCCACGCATTGCAATTCCATGCGCTGCACTTTCACGCGCCGTATTTTCAAGCGTCGAAATTCCACTTTCCACGCATTGTGTCTCCACGCGCCGTATTTCCACGCGTTGTACTTCCACGCGTCGTAACTCCACGCACCGTATTTTCAAGCGTCGAAATTCCACGCGTCGTATTTCCATGCATTGCAACTCCACGCGCTGTACTTCCATGCGCCGTAACTCCACGCGTCGCAAATTCCACGCGCCGTATTTCCACGCGTTGTACTTCCACGCGTCGTAACTCCACGCACCGTATTTTCAAGCGTCGAAATTCCACGCGCCGTATTTCCACGCGTTGTACTTCCACGCGTCGTAACTCCACGCACCGTATTTTCAAGCGTCGAAATTCCACGCGTCGTATTTCCATGCATTGCAACTCCACGCGCTGTACTTCCATGCGCTGTATTTCCAAACGTCGAAACTCCACGCGCCGTATTTCCACGCGTCGTAACTCTACGCGCCGTATTTCCAAGTGTTGAAACTCCACGCGCCGTATTTTCACGCATTGCAAACTCCACGCACTGTACTTCCACGCGCCGTAACTCCACGCGTTGTAACACCACGCGTCGTAACTCCACGCTCCGCGTTTTTCCTTAATAATTCAAAACCGAAGCTTCCTACCCCATTTCTGCAAAGGGAAATCCTGTTCAGAATCTCGTCAGCTACGAAATCAAAGACCCACACGAAATGTGAGACACCCTTTATACACGTCTGAATAAATTCTGAATTAACCTAGAATATATCTGTATTAAATACATAATAATATATTATCAGAATAATAAAAAAATTTCCTTATCAATTTTATTTAACAACGATAATTCAAGAGACGATAGAATAAAGAAATAAGAGAATAATGAAATAACGAAAAGCCATTATAGCGAACGCGATCGATTAAAGAACGAATTAAAAGCTTCGACGGAGCGTTTTATAATTAAAGTTTAATGTTTCGTGTTGATGCATGCAATCAGTCCGAAGCGCATTGAAATTTTCTTTGTTAAACACTGATGATCGCGAACGGCTCTGCGGCGGATCATTTATTCACGATTTTCGCGATTTCGTTTTAAAACGTTTTAATTACGAATTCATAATTGCATGCGACGCGCAAATATCATTTATTGATTCGTTTAATTAGAAGCACGTAGCATTGTTCGGACGTTTCTTTCGTTTTTATTGAAATCGCCGGATATTAATCATGGGATGTTATTAAATATAATATCGACGATAAAATTTCATTTTCGATGGGGAAATTGAGGGATGAGGAGACGTGTTTGTACAAATTTTTTTATGAGGAATGTTTGCAAAGAGTTTTATTTAACAGCATATTTATAATAAACCTTGATTTTCAAATAAAAAAAAACAAGTTAAAATTGAATAAATACCATAATGTGTGTATAAGTTTTTACTTTAATGAATGTTAGTGAAGATTTTTAAAAATCACAAAAGTTTATTGAATATATAATATGAATAACAAAACTTGATTTTCAAATAAAAATTCTAAGTTAAAGAGGACTGGAATGAACATCAAAGTTTTTGTATATTTTTTTCTGTTTTACGTTAAAGAATGTTAGTGAAGATTTATACAAGTTGCATAATTTTATTGAATATATGATATCAATAACAAAATTTGTTTTTCAAATAAAAATTTTAAGTTAAAGAGGACTGGAATGAACATCAAAGTTTTTGTATATTTTTTTCTGTTTTACGTTAAAGAATGTTAGTGAAGATTTATACAAGTTACATAATTTTATTGAATATATGATATCAATAACAAAACTTGGTTTTCAAATAAAAATTTTAAGTTAAAGAGAACTGGAATGAACATCAAAGTTTTTGTATATTTTTTTCTGTTTTACGTTAAAGAATGTTAGTGAAGATTTATACAAGTTGCATAATTTTATTGAATATATGATATCAATAACAAAATTTGTTTTTCAAATAAAAATTTTAAGTTAAAGAGGACTGGAATGAACATCAAAGTTTTTGTATATTTTTTTCTGTTTTACGTTAAAGAATGTTAGTGAAGATTTATACAAGTTACATAATTTTATTGAATATATGATATCAATAACAAGATTTGTTTTTCAAGTAAAAGTTCAAAGTTGAAAATGAACATCAAAGTCCTCCTACATTTTTTAAAAATAATTTTCACATTAAAGAACCATAGCGAACATTAAATACAAACTAGAAAATGTTACTAAATATAAAATATCAGTAACAAAACTTGATTTTAAAAATTAAAAAGAACTTGAATGAACATCAAATATTTTGTACAAATTTTCAGATGAAAAAATACTAACAAATTGATAGAGACGTTAAAAATTAATTATTTTTAATGAACACAGTTTTAATGTACAATTAGGTGGATCATTTTTTTGATATCACAAAAGAAAGTTGAAGGAATTTTTCATTTCTTTCAAAGTTTCGTTCGTCTGATCGCGAAGTAGTATGAGTCAATAACTGGTCAGACATCGGCGTTTCGACAAACGTACTCTTTACTACTGGCCCTGTTTCCTGAAATCCTTTATTTCTGCTTTTGCTAAAGCAACGATTCCTTTGTTCTCCGATCGCGCTTGCACAAAAACCGTGCCGTTTCTTCAAAATTAACAGAACGATGTGTTCAAACGGAGAATGAGGACAACGAAAATTGTGCGCCGATACGCATTCTCTAGCTTTGCGTTTATCTGCAAAATGATCGATAGTGCGTTCAGGATATTTTAATGGGAAGAATGGAGATGGATGAAAGAATGAATTTTTTAATGACAATTTTAATTTTCCCAATTTTCATTTTTCCAATTTTCATTTTTTCTAATTTTCACTTTTCTCAATTTTCACTTTTCCCAATTTTCCTAATTTCCACTTTTCCTCATTTTCACTTTTCTCAATTTCCACTTTTCTCAGTTTTCACTTTTCCCAATTTCCACTTTTCTCAATTTTCGTTTTTCCCCATTTTCATTTTTCTCAATTTCCACTTTTCCTCATTTTCAGTTTTCTCAATTTTCACTTTTCCCAATTTTCACTTTTCCCAATTTCCAATTTTCCTAATTTCCACTTTTCCTCATTTTCACTTTTCTCAATTTTCAGTTTTCCCAATTTTCACTTTTCCAAATTTCCACTTTTCCTCATTTTCACTTTTCTCAATTTTCACTTTTCACAATTTCCAATTTTCCTAATTTTCACTTTTCTCAATTTCCACTTTTCTCAATTCCCACATGTCACAATTTCCACTTATTATATCATTATTCAACTCAATTATCATTTGTCCTATTATTAGGTAATAAAGAATGACTAAAAAATGACTTACTAAAAAATTACCAAGTAATCAGTTATTACTCTGCTACAACAGTAACTACCTAAATAGTTTAATATTACTCATAACATTGATACTATCAATAGTAATTACTATTATAGCTGTACTATTACAGCACTATAATACTTTTCATTCATCCTCTCATAACCTTCACATATCCTTTAACCCCTTATACTAGCGAGTCTCACTCATACATAATTAAAGATTGCTAAATACAAAACACAACATTTCAATTTTCTTCGTTTTAACATTATAGCTAAGAATAGTATTTTTGACACACCTGACATTAACCCATTACCGTACAATTTGTGTCCTCTCATAACAAAAAAATAAAATCCATACTCACTGAACCCAGCACATCACAAAATGCGATATACCAAACATCAGTGCAATCCCCGAAAAGTATTAAACAAATTCTCCTAAGGAACAAATTCGTATAAAAGAAATTCCAGCTCGCGACAGGGTTAAACATACGTACACATATCCGTAAAAGAAGCATGAATGAAGAATGCGGAGTCTGCGGCGAATGAAAAAGGGATTCGAAGGGAAGAAAAGGGAAGAGGATCCAGCGGGAGACGTAGCAGGGTACCACTTAGCAGCTCGACAAACACACCATACGCCATGGTATCGTTGAAAAAAAAAAGAAGCTGAAAAGAGGGTAAAACGAGCGGAAGAGACGTACGAGCGTCTCCTGATTTTGCATTTTTCATTTGCCCCCTTTCGCTTCTAGCGAATTGCTATGAATCACCATGCAGATATTCTGCCTCTAAACAACAATGTAAACAGCATTTTTCATGACTCGGGTGCGAGGGAATGGATGAATGGGGGAATGGTTATTTGTGCGAGCGTTGAATATTTAAATTTTGGCGGGTTGCAATTTTGGGAGAGGGTTTAGTGAATTTTGAGGAGGGTTTTAATATTGATTGATGGTGGAGAGGTCGTGGGGTGCACGTTGGGGGTTTCGAGGGAAATTTGGGGGAGAGTTACGGTTGGGGGAAGGGATTTTGGAGTTTTTAGGTGGGGAGTTTGGTGATTTGGGAGTCTTGTGATTTGGCAGAGGAATTTGGTAGAATTGCAGTGCGTTGTATTCTTCGTGAGATGAAATTGCTAAGAGCTGTGTTTGTTACGCGTTGAAATTGATGCGAGTAGTATTTGCCACGCGTTGAAATTGATACGAGTAGTATTCTCCACGCGTTGAAATTGATACGAGTCGAATTTCCAACGCGTTAAAATTGATACGATTAGTATTTGCCAGGCGTTGAAATTGATACGAGTCGAATTTGCAATTCGTTGAAATTGATACGAGTAGTATTCTCCACGCGTTGAAATTGATACGAATTATATTTCCCACGCGTTGAAATTGCTACGAGTTATACTTGTTAAATACAGAAATCGCCACATGTTGAAATTATTACGTGTTGCATTTGCCGCGCCTAGAAATCAGTACGCGCTACAATTAATAACAAAATAAGTAACTAATAAATCTATTAAATTAGCGTTCTTAAAATTACACCATGAATCAAGCAGCTACAGAAAATCGAACGAGCCCCGTTTATA